CCCCAGGGGAGAAAACACCGAGCTCTTCGCCGAGTACCTGGCGCTGGGCCAGTACCGGGCGGGGCGGCCGGAGCCCTCGCCTGACCCCGAGCAGCCTGCGGGCCGCGGCGCGCAGGGCCAGGGCGAGGTCACCGAGCAGCTGGCGCACCTGGTGCGGGCCCTCTGGACCCTGGAGTACACCCCGCAGCACAGCCGCGACTTCAAGGTGAGCCGGCGCAGCGCCGCTCCCGAGGAGGGGGCCTGCACCCTGAGTTTCCGGGGCGCTCGCCTGCCCAAGTCTCCTTCCCCTTGTTCCCGTCCTGGCGGACTCTTGCATTGGTTTCTCAAAGAGATCTGGGTCCAGAGTCAGGGGCAAAGTACACTGATTGTAAGGAAGGTTCGTGCCTTCATTCATTCATTCATTCGATAAGTATTTATTGAGAGCTTACTACGCACGTGCCAAGCCCAGTGTTAGACATTGGGAGGGAGATTGAAGTGAACAAGGTTGTCTGCCTTCATGGAACTTGCATTCTTGGGGGATGGGAGTGTTGCTAGCTGCTGGGTTCAAATCCTGGTTCTGCCCCACTTAGCTAACCTGGGGCAAGTTACTCAATACCCAACACCTCTTGATTTTGAAGGTTTTGGCGTTTAGGGTGCGTGCACTCACGGTAGGGGGCGTGGGGGCGAGGTGGGGGGGTTAGAGAGACAGACAGAGAGGGAAAGTGAGAAATCAACCTACAGGGGGTAGAGCCATAGCACAATCCCTTCTCTTTTCACCTCCCATATGTGCCAGCATGATCTTTAAGCCACTGGTCAGGGACTCCCGGGACTGGAACTGTGGTAGATCATGTGGGAGGCCAACGATGCTACCGCTGCGCCATCTGCTGGTCCCCAGTTTTTCATTTTATACCTACCTGATAATGTGGTTGTGAGCAGCGATACAAGTTGATATAGTGGATTGAGCACTATGAAATTACCTGATTTTGACTTACCTATCTGTACTTCTAGGGTAGCCTAACATGTAGAAAGCATCAGTTCTCTAGTACCATGTATGTTTGCCTTTATTATTTTTATTATTAAACACTTTTTTTTGAAGAGGTTTTTGCTATAGGGCGCGTGCGCTCGCCAGAGACAGAGAGATAGAAAGCGAGAAATCACCCCCCAGGGGGGATGGCCACGCTGCAATCCCTTCTCCTCCATTCTCCTCTTGGGATCTTGGGCACGCATGCACATGCGCCCGGCGTGAGTGATTTTTAAGCCACCGGGTCCGGGATGCAAACCAAGGTCGACTACGTGGGAGTCCAGGGACATAGCCATCATGCTAACTGCTGGCCCCATATCTGATAGTGGTTTGAGGAAGGCAAAAAGGAGGTGATGTGATTGATGTGCTGATAGGCTGCTTTAAATGGGGGTAATAGGCCCCGGGGTGGCTTTTGGTCTCTGCTGGTGTAGCTGCAAGTGTAATGAGAGGGCAAGATGGAGTAGGGCCGTTTAGGCTGTGCTAAGGAATTGGGTGCTTTTTCTAAGCAGAGGGGGAGATAATTTGAGGTTGTATAAGGGATACTTTTAGGTTGGACATGAATATGGTATTACATAGAACAAAATCACACAGTGAGAAAGTTAACTCCTTTTTCATTTTCTTACTGTCCTAATGATGCCAGAAGACAGTCTCAGTTTGATGTTCTCTTGTTTCTAACATCTCTTGCTCATCTCTCCCCTCCCTTTTTTAAACAAGGACAACAGGCTTCAAGATTTGAAGCTTTGGCAGGCAGCAGCGACTAGAATTTAATACGATTATGTTTCTTATTGGGTTTGTTTTTTCATTTATCTTCTGCTGTATCATTTACTGGTTTTTCACTGGTGCTGTAAAGTTTCTTTCTAAAATACATGTAAGCAAAAGTAAATAATCTGATTAAAATATAAGAAGGTAATCTAGATGAGGGGTCTATGTTCACTTAAGGTCCTGTTTTCTTGCTCAGGATTAATACTGCCAATGTATATCTCTCCCTTTCTAATAGTTTTTAAATATATATATGTATATATATTAATATTTTGTTGTTCACCCATATTTTTCTCAAAAAGAGGGAATGGTTACACTTAGATCTTGGAAATTTCAGTGGAGATTACTTGACTGGGATAGGGACCGGAAGTTAGAGATCCTTGTGAGAGATCTCAAGAACAAATAGGAGAATGGTAACCAAGTGGTTACTGTCGTGTGTGTGTGTGTGTTCCTGCTTTTAGTTGCTTATGAGTGGCCACCCACTTATAAGTTATTGCATACTTTTCAAGGTCAGAGCCCAGTGTTTAAGTTTGGTTTTCTATTCTTTTCCAAAAGCAGAAAGTCAATTTCTATAACATCTTGGTATGTGAACATTTCTCTCTCTCTCTCTCTCTCTTTTTTTTTTTTGTGATGTATTCACGTTTTATCCTTTAAGCTGAGAACAGAACTGGGTCAATAATTCTAGAAGTGCAGAGACTGATTTACAGACGTGCTTTGGCAAAGTTGAACACATTCTTAGATGCCCTGCTTTTAAAAAAACATGACATTTTCTGAGTCTTACTAGATTCCACTCTGTATTCATTCATTCACCTTCCATTTTTTGATAGTTCACTCAATCAGTTAGGAATGTATTTAGAATGAGAAAGAAAAATCTCTAATGATAATACCTTAAGCAATACAAATGTCGAATAAACTCACACAGTAAGTCTAGAGATAGGTGATTCTAACTGGGAAAGGTGGCTTGATGGGCCCAGCAAGAATCTAGGCCATTTCTTTTTCCACTCCATTGTCCTTGGCTATCGGCTTTTCTCATGTTTGTCACCTCATGGTTGCCTGATGATGGCAGCTGCAGCACCCTGCATTCTACCCAGGAAGGCAGGAAGTCATTAGGGAAATGAAGTTCCTCCAGAAGCCACCCCCAGCAGGCTTCTGCTGCTGTCTCATTGACTATAACCATGTCAGCTACTGGCTAGGTTTTCCTCTTTAGTAGAGATGAGTGAAGGAGAGGTTTACCAATTAGGCAACCCACCAAAGTGTCTTACCTGTGAGGTGCTAGGGTCTTTCATTTAGAGAAGACACTCTGCCTGCCTATGAAAAGTTGCATCCAGTGAGAGCTGGTACCTATGCCAGGACTTCTCATGCTTTAATATACACACAGTTCATTCACTTGAGAGTCTTATTTGAAAGCAAATTCTGATTCCGTAAGTGCTGGGGCCCTGAGAGTCTGCATTTCTAACAAGCTTCCAGATGATGCTGATGCTGTTGGTCATTGGTTTGAATAAGCCACCAGGTCCGGGACGCGAACCACGGTCGACTACGTGGGAGTCCAGCGACATGGCCATTACGCTAACTGCTGGTTCCGAGAAAAGGTGATTTTTGAGCCATGTTCTGAAGGACAAATAAGAATTTGCCAAGTCAAGAAGCAGTGGAATGAAATGAAAGGGCATGTGGCTTTGGGGAAACAGACGTGCAGTGGCTGGTTATGCCATAGAGAGCTGTGGGGGTGCGGGAAGCCTGGGAGATGTGTGTTGCAAATGGATCCTGAGGGCTTTGTGGGCTGTGCTGGTGTGGACTTTATCCTCTGCAAGTTGAGAATCCAGAGCTGGGTTTTAGGCAGGAAAGTGATATGATTAGATTTTTTTCTCCTTTTCTTTCTCCAATTAGGTAAGCCTGGTGGCATTGCAGAGCCTTTTTCTTTTTAAAGGAAAATGTTTTAGTCAGGCACATTTGATGGGCATTATTTTTGAGCAGAAAGAAAATTGAACACCAGGAAGATGGACTTGAGGCATACCCATCACCATGCCCCCTTGCCTGTTTGTGGCAGACATCATTGTTTGATTCGGATACTCTTTACATTCACATAGCACACATTCACCCTAGACTTCTGTTTAGTGTTGGGCTCCAGGCAGCCACCGGTGGTTGATTCCATTTGGTATTAGAGCTAAAACCAATTTGCCACCTTGAGATAGTTTGCCTTGAGGTCTAGACAAGCACTTAACTATGTCTTTTGAGTGTGCTTTCATAGTCTTGAAACTTTCTTTAATTACTAATGCTTTTCTTTTTTTTTTTTTATCCTTTTTTTTTTTGTGGGGGGAGAGGGTTTCCCTATAGGGCATGTGCACTCGCCAGACAGAGAGAGACATAGAGACAGAAAGCGAGAAATCACCCCCCAGGGGGGATGGTCACACCGCAATCCCTTCTTCTCCATTCTCCTCTCGGGATCTTGGGTACGCATGCACACGCGCCCGGCGTGAGTTTTAAGCCACCAGGTCCGAGACGCGAACCGCGGTCGACTACGTGGGAGTCCAGCGACATAGCCATTACGCTAACTGCTAATTCCCACTAATGCTTTTCTTTGTAAGTTTTTCCAGTTAGAATTCTTGGTTTCAGATAAACACATTGATTTGAGCTTTCGCATCCTGCTAAAGGGTGTTTTGGTTTTGGAGAGTCTAGATGGTTGTGAAAGTTGAGTTTTCATTCCCCAGAATGAAATGAGTTGACTGCCCGACCTTGACATGCCTTAAATATTCTGCCACCACCTTTTCTTATTGCACAGATACTTTTCTCCTCTTAGAGCAGTGGTTTCCAACCAGAGTCCTTTTGCCTCCCCCACACCCCAGCCTCCTCCTTTCTCTTGGTACATTTGTAGATATCTAGGGACATGCTTGGTTGTCACAGTTGGGGTGGGGTGTGCTACTAACACCTCGTGGATATATTCCAGGGATGCTGCTAACGGGCATTCAATGTGCAGGACAGCTCTGAGATCGAAATACTTTAGGTTGAAGGAATGTTTTGAGTCTTCTCAGCACAAGTTTTCTTATTTCCCCTGCTTTTAGAAAGATTGCCATGTGAACTTTTTCTATTCTTTGTGCATATGTGTTTGCAGCAGCACTAGGGTAAAACCTGAACTACACAGGGCCAGCAGGTGGCTTAGTGATTAAGGCACTGGACTCCCACATGGCTGACCATGGTTTGAGTCCTGGACTTGGTGTCTTGGAAATCATACTGGGTGCATATGCGGGTGCACCCAAAATCTCAAGTAGAGAATGGAGGAGAAGGGATTGTGGCATGGCCATCTCCCCGGGGGATGATTTATCACTTTGCTTCTCTCCTGTCTCTCTCTGGCAAAAAAAATTGAACTTCACTGGCAGGACATTTGTATCACTTTCTTTGTCAAACAGTAAATAAATAATTTTGAGACCTGAATACTCAGTATGCTGTTATAA